AGGAGGAAAAAAAAGAATCTTTAGATTGTGTTTGTAACAGCATATTAAGTGAGTTAAGTTAGACTCTTAGTACGGAAGTTAACTTTGAACCTTTGGTAACCATGAATCTAAAGCCTGCAATGGCAATAAGTACATACCTATCGCTAATCACCCTCAATGTAAATGGACTGAATGCACCAATCAAAAGACACATAGTCACTGAATGGATAAAAAAACAAGACCCATCTATATGCTGAACACAAGAGACTCACTTTAAACCCAAAGACATACACAGACCAAAAGTGAAGGGATGGAAAAAGACATTTCATGCAACCAATACAGAGAAAAAAGCAGGAGTTACAGTACTTGTATCAGACAAAATAGACTTCAAAAGAAAGAAAGTCACAAGAGACAAGGAAAGACATTACATAATGATAAAAGGGTCAATACAACAAGAAGAAATAACCATTATAAATATCTAAGTACCCAACACAGGAGCACCTATATATGTGAAACAAATACTAACAGAATTAAAAGGGGAAATAGAATGCAATGCATTCATTCTAGGAGACTTCAACACTCCACTCACTCTGAAGGGCAGATCAACCAGGCAGAAAATAAGTAAGGAGACAGAGGCACTAAACAACACATTAGAACAGATGGACATAACAGACATCTACAGAACTTTACACCCAAAAGCAGCAGAATACACATTCTTCTCAAGCGCACATGGAACATTTTCAAGAACAGATCAAACACTAGGCCACAAAAAGAGCCTCGGTAAATTAAAAAAGACTGAAATTGTACCAACCAGTTTCTCAGACCAAAAAGGTATGAAACTAGAAATAAATTACGCAAAGAAAAGGAAAAATCCCACAAACACATGGACGCTTCACAACATGCTCCTAAAACACAAATGGATCAATGACCAAATAAAAACAGAGATCAAACAATATATGGAGACAAATGACAACAATAATTCAACACTGCAAAATCTGTGGGACATAGCCAAGGCCTTGCTAAAAGGTAAGTATACTGCAACACAGGCCTACCTCAGGAAAGAACAACAATCCCATATGAGCAGTCTAAACTCACAATTAACAAAACTAGAAAAAGAAGAACAAATGAGGCCCAAAGTCAGTAGAAGGCGGGACATAATAAAGATCAGAGAAGAAATAAATGAAATTGAGAATAAAACAATAGAAAGAATCAATGAAAGCATGTGCTGGTTCTTCAAGAAAATTAATAAAATAGATAAACCCTTAGCCAGACTTTTCAAGAAAAAAAGAGAGTCCACTCATATAAACAGAATCAGAAATGAGAATGGAAAAATCACTAGGGACACCAAAGAAATACAAAGAATTATTAGAGAATATGCTAATAAGCTGCATAACCCAGAAGAAATGGACAACTTCCTAGCAAAATACAACCTTCCAAGGCTGACGCAGAAAGAAACAGAAAATTTGAACAGACCAAATACCAGCAACGAAATGGAACTGGTAATCAAAAACCTATCTAAGAACAAAACCCCTGCACCAAATGGTTTCACCACTGAATTTTATCAAACATTCAGTGAAGACCTAATACCCATCCTCCTTAAAGTTTTCCAAAGAGTAGAAGAAGACGGAAGAGTTCCAACTCATTCTATGAGGCCAGCATAACTCTAATACCAAAACCAGAAAAGACACCACAAAAAAAAAGAAAATTACAGACCAATATCCCTGATGAACATAGATGCAAAAATATTCAACAAAATATTAGCAAACCAAATTCAAAAATACATCAAAAAGATCATCCATCATGATCAAGTAGGATTTATTCCAGGGTTGCAAGGATGGTACAACATTTGGAAATCCACCATTATCATCCACCACATCAACAAAAAGAAGGCAAAAATCACATGATCATCTCCAAAGATGCTGAAAAAGATATGACAAAATTCAACATCCATTCATGATAAACACTCAACAAAATGGGTATAGAGGGCAAGTACCTCAACATAATAAAGGCCATTTATGACAAACCCACAGCCAACATTATACTTAACAGCGAGAAGCTGAAAGCTTTTCCTTTAAGATCGGGAACAAGACAGGGATGCCCACTCTCCCCACTTCTGTTCAACACAGTACTGGAGGTCCTAGTCATGGCGATCAGACAACACAAAGAAATAAAAGGCATCCAGATTGGCAAGGAAGAAGTTAAACTGTCCCTGTTTGCAGATGACATGATATTGTACATTAAAAAAACCCAAAGACTCTACTCCAAAACTACTAGATCTAATATCTGAATTCAGCAAAGTTGTAAGATACAAAACTAATATGCAGAAATCTGTGGAATTCCTATACACTAACAATGAACTAGTAGAGAGAGAAATCAGGAAAACAGTTCCATTCACAGTTGCATCAAAAAGAATAAAATACCTAGGAATAAACCTAACCAAGGAAGTGAAAGACCTATACTCTGAAAACTACAAGACACTCATAAGAGAAATTAAAGAAGATACCAATAAATGGAAACACATCCTGTGCTCACGGATAGGAAGAATTAATATTGTCAAAATGACCGTCCTGCCTAAAGCAATCTACAGATTCAATGCAATTCCTATCAAAATATCAACAGCATTCTTCAACTAGAGAAAATCATTCTAAAATTCATATGGAACTACAAAAGACCCCGAATAGCCAAAGCAATCTGGAGAAGGAAGAATAAAGCTGGAGGGATTATGCTCCCCAACTTCAAGCTCTACTACAAAGTCACAGTAATCAAGATAATTTGGTACTGGCACAAGAATAGACCCATAGACCAATGGAGAAGGCAAATAGTGAATCTGTGGCATCTTACTACACTGATTGACAGTAACTGCATTGGGGTATGGGTGGGGACTTGATAATATGGGTAAAGTAGTAACCACATTGTTTTTTCATGTGAAACCTCTTCATAAGAGTGTTTATCAATAAAACCTTTATTTTAAAAAACATAGTGGTATATGAGCCAAGGAAAAAAATCCATCTGGAAAAAACGAGTAAGTAGAGGTATTTCTCCAAATTTCATTGAAACTGTGAGTTTTCTGTCTTGTGACCATTTCTTTGATATTCCCATGTACATGATAAACACTTCCTTAAGAAATTACAGATGAACTTTCAATTTTTAAAAATACTCTATTTGCCTCTCTTAGAAAGGAAGACCAATTCTGTAAAAGAACCATGAATGAGAAATGCAATTTGACATGTAACGAAAGCAAACACAGTCTTCCTCGTATTCTTTTTATTCTGGTTTCCACATTCAAACTTAATGCAATTTTCAAATAATATTACAAAAAGTGTTGAAGTCACAGCAATCCATCTAAGACTACCCTAACCACTACCACGAATTCAAAGAATATATACACTACTAATTTTATCAATTCAAGGAACATACAGGCTATGAATTTTAGCTTTCTATGAGGCAACAAAACAAAACCTTTCCATAAAGGTCTTATAAACCTGTGAACTCTATGACTGAGCCTGATTTCTTACTGCTGATGAAATTTAAGGATAAGAAAAAACAACTTCCACATATAGATCAAATAGGATTTCCTTTTTTAATTAAATTAAAGCAACTACTGAGAGTTACAGAAGGAAAGTATTCTAAAGAGTAATCAACCTTCTGTTCTCAAACTCTTCACACAGCGCACACAGTCTTATTATATATAATGTATCTTTCCATGATAGAATAAAATCAGCAACTGGCAAAGCCTCTGGATAATTTAGGACTATGATTAAAAACTACCCAGAAGAAATTATATGGAAAAATCTAGGTAAAGGAATGTAATTTAGTGAGGGCCTCGGCTAAGAGAAAGTGTAAGAGGCAAAAGGATGAATCGTGATTCCCGTCTCAGTGTCGTCTTCACAACAAAGGTCTCTGAAGACTTTATTTCTATAGAAATTTCATAGGGAAAAAGACAGTATATAAAAAAAGCCTAAATGTGTAACCCAAATTGACATAAATGATAATCAGAGGTCAAATATAGAGTATTATTCTGAATGACTGGATAAGAAGGGGGTTGGAGCTTTGAGAATGATGCATCAAATGGATTCCATGAACTCAGCAGTATTGTGAAAATAAAACAAATGAAAATACCTCACAAAAAACATACCTCACACCAAAGAAAAACCATGTCCTACAACTTCCACTCAGATTAACTGTGGTAATTTTGTCCTATAAAACAATCACCTCTTCAAAAGGAAAACATGGTGAGAAGTTTGATAATCTAACTCAATTAAAATATTGGAGAATTATCTTGCTTTATCTTTCTCAAAACTAAGAATACCAAAATGTAATAGTCAAATATACATGCAAAATGACCCTACAATTAAGATAATTGTTGGTACCAAATGTTGTTTTTAAGTTTTGCAATAAAACAGTCTCCCAGACATTTAATAGTATGTCACTTGGTAAATCAAAGTTTCCACAAAGTAACAGCAGTGAGAAGACCTAAAAATTATGCTAGTGAAGAATCTGGCTGAAAGAAACAATCATTTTGATCCAACACTAATTTTATTTCAAGTTCCTACAGAGCTGAATAAAATGCTGACATCACCACACAAAAATTCATTGAGCTGGCAATAGGCAAAGCATGATGTCAGCCTCCAATATCACCATCCACATTACCAAACAGCATGAACGTTCAATGCTTGAACTTCTTAGACTTTATGGCTAACATTACAGTAAAAACAAAAACCTTAGGCATGAGGCATCATTAAACATAGATGAGTTTAGTTTGGCATGGTTTGGCTCAAATTAGTCTAGTACTTTAACAAATTCCAGAAAAAACATGAAAAAATGCAAGCTTAAACATTACAATTTCCTAAATGTGCTACATTCTGCACCAAACAGACCCATATAAATAAGTCTTAGTCAACTCCAACTAATATTCAAGTAAATAACACCACTTACCCCTACCCCCTGCACACCCACAAAGTGCAGGCTGACAGGAGACATGGACACACACATATGCACACACCCATGTAGTAAGTCCTTACCTTCATGGCAGGGATTTCTTCAAGCAATCATCGTGCTCGTCTCTGGCTTTTTAACAGTGCATCTTCAGTGCCCCTGCAGATAATACAATATGTAGCCAAGAAAAGCATTTCTCTTAGACTCATATCAAATGAAAAATGAAGAAATTTTGTCATCCTGTACTGTCCTCAACAAACTCAATTCCATCAACAAACTCAAGTTTTTGGCAAAAAGAAGCATTGTCCCAGCATTATATTAATGACTATTAACATTAACAGTTTGCCTTCTATTCCTTAATAGGATGGCCAAATAATATTTTTTAATTAACAGATTAATAACACTTTGTTTTAACATAATACAAATTTCATAAGCTACAATTAAAGGTTGAATTAAATTTTACTAAATGAAAACTTGTTCTCTGGAATTAACAGAATTTCTAAGTTAAAAATCTGATTATACTGGAGAGGAAGGCTATCTTCTGAAATATTTAGTAAGAAGGAACAAGAAGTTAATCAGGAATAAAACGTATCTTAAAGCATAAAAACTATAAATAGCATATTTATCCTCTAATACTAGTGAAGCTAAAATTACAAAGTACATTTTCAAAAAAATTGGGTTGAACACGTTTTCATAAGCACTTCCACAAGACACTGAGAATTTCAAATCAATCACCAATTCAAGGAATAAAGTGATATAAAACCTTTGTAACTGATCCAAAGTATTAGTACATTTGTTAAACTATAGCAACATCTTAAAGTAACTTCCAATAACATAAAACACATAAACAACCCCAAAGGGCTTTCATTCCAAAATGGCAGAAAGGAGAGTTTGGGAAAAAATCAGAAGAATTCGTCAGATATTTTAAAGTAAATAAGGTCTAAACTATATAATGGCATGCTGACACAGCACATTTTATCTCACATCCTTTCCACATATAAAACAAAGTGCTGCATGAGTAAGATATTTAATTATTCCTCTAGGTCCCACCCTTCACTTTTGTAAATACTGAATAAAAACAACTTTTCACATTTTATTAGTCCCAGGACCATTAGTTTAAGTGACTTACTTTTTGGACTCCAGTCTGCTCACACTCCTGACAAGTTTTCAGATAAAAACTCGGATTCTCTTCACTTCTTTTCTCATCTTCACAACCTGTGAGGAATAAAGCCAAAATTAGGGAGGCTCTTAATTCAAGAAGAAACATACTTTGAGTCTTATTATAGATTACCAATTGAACCAAATTTTTAACTATATTCAGTTTGATGAAATCAAACCTCTTCCATAAACAGCAAAGGAATAAATCAACATTCTAAAAACATGTCTGAGGATTTAAGAGAAATAAGTTGTGATTTTTAAAAAGGTCACAGCATTCCCTGTGGTCAGTATATTGATATCACCAGTACATCCTGTTCCTGGATCATAATAAACGATGAGTTCTCTGAGATCGGAGACCATCATGTTCATCTTTGTGTCCTTGTAGTTTAAATCAGAAATTCACCCAAAATGGGAGACATTTAATTTCCTGAAGGAGTGTTTGTAACAACAATAGAAAATACGTCAAAGAACTGTATTCTATTTATTTATAGAGCACCTCCACATTTATCTTTGGTACTATATTATTTCAAGCATAACTTTAAAAGAAATATCAAAAACACAAGGACATACACACACCAGATACATGCTTTCCATCATCCCATTAGAGAATCATGTTGAACTCTAGAACAAAAAAACAGAACTATAGCCAAAGAGATGGAGATGTTATAATGATAAAGAACTCCATATTACGATAGTGCTTACTATGAAAAGGGACACTATCATTTTGAGTTTATATTCGTCTGTCATTGTTAGGAGCCATACATCTTATATAATTCTTCCTGTAATGTCCTTCTCCTTCTCCACTTGAGGAACTACACAAACTTCAGTTCAGATATAATCTCTCCAGTGAAACCTTCAATTATTTCTTTAGCTAAACATAACCTGTTCTTCCTTGAGGTTCCCACTATACTTTGAAGGTAGGATCTCACTGTACTGTCACTAACTACACATGTGGCTGCCTTCTTCTACAGTCTGACCTCCTCTCAGAGGACAGGGCCTTGCAGTATTTACACAGTGTTTTCTGTGCCTTGCAAGAGTGCCTGGCACACACAAGCCCTCAAATTCTTCTCACCAAAATAGTATTATCAACCTCGTCCTGTTTCTTCAAGGCTCTTGGATTTAGCTTTAACAGCTTCTCTTATCTCCTATTAGTATCATTCATCCTTTATCTACTGAAGATATTGGCAACCAATTTACAATTTCTCTCCATCCTAAGTTTTGCCATCATTCTGGGTGAGGTAGACGTCCACTTGAATAACCCATCTGATATTACATCCTCACTTCTTGACTTCCTCTTTTCTAATGACCTAATCTTTTCCATCTCAGCCACCCACAATTCCATGGTCACACTGCAGCCCTTGTCATCACTAATAACTACTCCATTTCTAAACTCATGAATTCAAATACTCCACAATGAGATCACAACTTCCATCAGCTTGCTTATTCAACTTCATCCACCACAATGGTCTGTGACTTCACTGAAACCACCAAGTTCATTGACCCCTTTCACCTTCTCTCTCAAATGGTCAGGCCTTTTAATTTTCCTTTTATCCAGTTTGGTACATGATCAACACTTGCCAATACCTTAAACTCCCTCTAGTTAATCCTGGAGGAAAGCAACATTCTGAGTCTTTTCTCACAGCACTCCAGTAGGCAGGAAATACTTTAGATTATATGATAAATCCCCCAGGGCTAACCTTGACTGGCCTCTACACTTCCTAGCAACTCTACTGTACTTTCTTGATCAATACACTCTACGACTATTTTAAACCTTCACGTGCTTTCCTTAAATATCTGACCTTCTTCCTCTTTTTTTCAATTTCATGGAGAAATAAATATCAGATGGGAACCATCATTTTTATTACCACAAATACAAATTTACATGCATCCTCAACCTCTATTAATAAAGTTATAAGAAATACCCCTACACGTATGTCAGGTTAGTCTCCTAATTGTGTTTTGGGAACCCATCCTTTTCTGCCTTCCTAGAACCCTTTCTATAGATGATTCCTTCCCTCTAGCATTGTCAATCTCTTCAAATGGATGTTTCCCAGTGTTTTTTAATCATGCCAGGATCATTTTCACTAAAGACACAACAAAACATCCACACTACAAAGTTGACTGGGAACACCCTCTCTCTTCAACTGCCTCAGAGCTAAGCTTTTAAAGAGTTCAAACTATTTCATGCATTCCACATCCAGTTTCCCTTCCCAATGGCCCACTTAAAACTACCACAAAATTCAACAGGAATTTTTCAGACTTCATTTACTTGACATCTGAGCAGCATTTGACACTGCTGACTGCCTCCTCCTCCTTGAAACACTCTGTCCTTGGTTTCCAGAACAGATCACTCCCCTGGTTTTCCTCCTTCCTCTCTACACACTCTACCTTGGTTTTCTAAGGCTCACAGACCTCTAATCAGTCATGAGTTCAAGGCCAACTCTTCTTTTTACAATATACTGTTTAACCCTAAAGATTTACATGTATATATTGTTTTAATTTGCCACCTAACCAAAGATGACTCAAAAATTTCTACCTTTGTCTGAGATCTCTCTTTAGGTCCAGATCTAAATATACAACTGCAACTGCCTACTTGGTATTTCCTCTTGAGTGTGTTTAAAATTATTTCCAACTCACACTTGTCCCTCCGCAGTTATCCACAATTCAGTCATAATACATTATTTAACATGCAGATCTGATATTACACTCTCCCCAGTGGTTTCCAATTGCTCTTAGGATGGTCACACAGGCCTTTTTTATTCCTTCATACTCACCATGATCACATCTACCTCCAAGTCTTTACACTTGCAATATTCTCTGGTATGAATGCTCTTTCTCCCCAAGTTAGCTTGTAAACATCTTATCCCTCTGATGTTGGCTCAACTGTCATTTCTCAGGGAAATATTTTCTGGCCTCCTGGAGAAGGTAAAACATTCCATTTATGAGCACTTACAGTGCTGCTAGAACTTATCATGACTGTTAGTTTTAGTTTAATTTAGTTTAATTTTACTTTTAATCTAATTATGTTAAATGTGTCTTCCTTCCAGTAGGTTATAAATTCCAGTCAAGTATCTGGTTTTACTCAACACTAAATCTTACCACCTAACACAGTGGATGACATAGCAATTGTTCAATAAATATTTGTTAAATCAACAACCAGAAAGTTTGCAATACTCACTTGTTCATTCACTGTCTCAAGTGCAGAGTATATGCTAACAGAATGCAGAGTAATCAGGTTTCTTTCCCACTAGATATGTTAACTTCTTTAGAATTTGTTTCAAAGTTAGATCCACTTAGAAAAAAATCACACTGTAAAGAGTCTCTTCAGTAAATGTTGTTGGGAAAATTGGATAGCTACATGTAAAAGAATGAAACCAGACCACTGTCTTACACCACATCCAAAAATAAACTCAAAATGGATTAAACACCTAAATATAAAACCTGAAACTATAAAACATAGCTTTTATAGAACTAGAAGAAAACATAGGCAGAGAGCTCTTGAACATTCACATTAGTAATTTTGGGGGGGGATGTGTCTCCCCAGGCAAGGGAACCAAAAGCAAAAATAAACAAGTGGAACTACTTCAAACTAAAAATCTTCTGCACAGCAAAGGAAACCACCAACAAAATGCAAAGGCAGCCTACTGTATGGGAGAATATATCTGCAAATTATACATCCAATACAGGGCTAATAAACAAAATATATAAAAAAACTCATACAACTCAACTCCAGAAAAATAACAAATAATCCAATTAAAAAGTGTGCACCGTACCCAAATGGACATTTTTCCTAAGAAGGCATATAGATGGCCAACAGACATGAAAAGATACTCAGCATCACTAATCATCAAGAAAATGCATATCAAAATCACAATGAGATACTTCACACCAGTCAGACTGCCTAGTAATATCAAGAACACAAGAAATAACAAGAATTCGAGAGAATGTGGAAAAAGGGAACTCTCCTAAATTGTTGATGAGAATGTACGTTAGTGCAGCCACTATGGAAAGCAGTATGGAGGTTTATGGAGGTTTCTCAAAAAATGAAAAATACCATACAATCCAGTAATTCCACTTGTGGGAATTTAACCTAAAGATAAAATCACTAATTCAAAAAGATATATGCACCCCTATGTTCACTGCAGTATCATTTACAATAGCCAAAATATGGAAGCAATGTAAGTGTCCATCCCCAGACAAATGGATAAGGAATATGAGGTATATATGTACATAATGGAGTATTACTCAGTCATAAAAATGAATGAAATCTCACCATTTGCAATATAGATGGACCTTGAGGATATTAAGCTAAGTGAAATAAGACAAATACTGTATGTGGAACCTAAAAACAAACAAATGAACAAACAAACAAAACAGAAACAGATCCATGAACACAGAGAAGAGACTGATAGTTGCCACGGGGAAGGGGATAGGGGCACAGGTGAATTAGACAAAAGGGGAAAAAATTAGTTAGAATGTCTGATATCTTGATCTCAGTGACAGTGACATGTATACACATGTCAAAATTCCTCAAGCTGTACACTAAGATTTGTGCATTTTATTGTAGGTATCTCAATTAATAAAATATGTATCAATGAAAAGTCATTTAGACTAGGTTTAAGTAAAAAAGAATTGCTACATTTAATAAGCAATATAATAGGAATTTATGACACATTTTTTGAAAATTACATCATTCATACAATAATTAATAACAAGTGATAAATTATGCATTAAAATTTATTAATACATGTTTCTAAGTATTATACCCTGCTGGTGCATGAGGTATATAGTATACAGCATTTGCTAACCACTGTAAAACAAACCTAACTAATAAATCACAGAGTTGGTCCTCAGTTGCACTGCATTCCAATCACAGGAGAACTAGACTCCAATATTAAAAATTCCAATGTAAGAAGTTCTATGGTTACCAGTACTGCATCAGGGAATTCTTAAAAGCAAAGGGAATGTTTCATGCACTTAGTTTCATGCTGATGCCAAAAAATGCTTTCCTAGCCTTTTTTTCAGTATGTATACTCACTTTATAGTGCTTTTCCTTTAGTATACTGACTTTTACAGTACCAGTGAGTAGGCAGTAAGAAAATTGGAAAAGCACTATATTTGGCAAGATTTATATTCACTTTACGTAAAAATGGAGTTAGTTTTATTTTTCTCCCACTTACTCACCTCAAGCACTTAGTTTCTTCCGAGCATTTACATTTTTGTTTCATTGACACCTAGCTAGCTACCAACAGCCTTTCAGTCAGGATTTAAAAGGTCAACAATGAATTTGCCCCTACAATGAAGCTGGTTGACAGATAACCCAAAAGTCAACAAACAGGCCTAAAACACCCAATTGCCACTAAAGTAGACAAGATTTATATTCACTTTACGTAAAAATGGAGTTAGTTTAGATTTAAAAGGTCAACAATGAATTTGCCCCTACAATGAAGCTGGTTGACAGATAACCCAAAAGTCAACAAACAGGCCTAAAACACCCAATTATCATCAGAAGGCCATGCACTGTTGAAGCCCAATGTTTTTTTTTTTTATTCTTCAACCAAAAGTACAGAACTATCACTGTTAAGAAATGTGAAAAAGTATGATTTTGATGGGGGGAAGGAAGGAAAGAAAAATAAAGTGAGCAGGAGAAAACAGTGGCATAATAATGGAAATCCTATGTGCTGACAGAGAAGATATAAAATAAAAGAGAAACGACAGGAAAAAATATGAAGACAGAAACTGAAGGACAAATTTGTAGGTCATCACTAAGACTGACAAGCCCAAGTTGAGCGCCTCCAAACAGCAAAAGAATGCATTTAATATAATCTATGAGAGCAGGAGGAGGAGTGAAGACTTGCACACAGGAGCGCACAGCACAGCTGCCAGAAAGGAGGCATCACCGAGAACCCAGGCATGAGGATGCCCTCAGTTAACCTGGTAGTGTAACCTGAAGAGCATCACCTCTTCAGTAGACAATGACACAAAGAGCAAAAGCTGGCAGTGTCCAACTCAAGGAGATTCCAAGAAGAGTTCCCCTGCTCAAAGACTTAAGAAATCCAATTTGTACTGGAATAACTCAATAATGGGGACAGATGTATCATAACTAAATATTGAATCATGCAACTAAAACAAAACCCTTTCAGTGGTTCTACATGCCAAGCAGCTAATGTAGGTCAAAGGAAAGGAAAATAATGTGTTTTACAAGGTGAACGCCCCTATCTACTTTAGGTATATTTCTTAATAAACCAGCTTTCTCATGTACACAGACTTCTATAAGCTTATGGTTAATGCGAACTTGTTTTTGAGAGAATGACCTATACTTGTGGGATGACACTGATAACACGTGTCTGATCTACAAAGCTAAGAGCAAACATAAAGGTAAAATCTACTTTGAATCGACTCTCAGTTGGCTATCTGCTAGCCAGTCAACTAGCCAGCCTCTTTTGGTAGTGCACTGACTGTCATACATTTTAATTAACCTGCAATAAAACCCCAGGGTTCTTAGAAAACAACTATTCCAAGAGCTAGTACTCTTCTGGGGAAGCTTGCAGTACGAAGAAAAATGAGCTATTAAGGATCATAAAAATAATGCCTCGAGTTTTCATTCAACAGATAAGCACTGAGGAATGATAGTAGGCAAAAATTTACTGACAGGCGGAGGGCGTAAGATATAACACGCACACAGACACTGACCAGATGTGTTAAATAAATGGTGCAACAAGAGCTTATAAAAGGAGTAAATGAAAGTCTAGAAAGGTTTCCCTGAAAAAGTGAAAGTAAAGTAGAAGTATGAAATGTAATAATGAGAGGAAAAAGAGCTTCGGGTAAAAGGAACACCATGTGAAAAGGATCTACAGGGTGCTGGGCTAGACAGTGGAGGAAGGCCAGCACAGCTGAAGCATAGAGACTGAGAAGGATGTGGTATATATAACACAAGGGAGAAGGATCTACAGGGTGCTGGGCTAGACAGTGGAGGAAGGCCAGCACAGCTGAAGCATAGAGACTGAGAAGGATGTGGTATATATAACACAAGGGAGAGTCTTATTCAGACTGCTCTTCACCAAATCCAACGGAGCCACCACCTAGGTTTCAGGAAAGGGGTGGGGAGGTCACATGATCAGATTTATGTTTTGAAGACAGCACTTCAGCTGCACTAGAGAGATCAGATTAGAGGTAGCGAAGGATCAAGGAAAATAGCTGGGAGTTGGTGGGAGATAAACCTAGACTAGGATGAGGGTGGTGAGTAAACAGTAATGCAGAGATAACTCTTTTTCAGATACATTTTTTTCCCTTGAAGTTAATTCTTTTGCCAATTTTCTATGACACATTCTCTTTAATTTTCATGAGCTATTTTATAGTAATGACATTAGCTGTTTATGTCATATTGCTGTATTTCTTTTTTCTAATTGGTGTCCAATTTTTCTCCTTTGGCATGTTCTTCAGTTTTTCTGTAGATGTATCCATATTTTTTTTCCTTTGTAGTTTTTCTTTCATTTATTTTCAGTTTCAACACCTTCCCTCCTCTCCACTTTTTTCTGTCTTTTTTCCCCCCATCTTCATACTAGAACATAAAAAATTTGCTTCAGTGTAGGATGTGGATAGTTCAGACATCCAGCAAACATTTACAGAGCACCTACATTGTAGGGGGCAGACATATACAGAAAACAAAGAAACAAGTACAAGTGTTCCCAAAGCAGAAAGCACTCTGGTTGCACACAGAACAGACACTTTGCCCAGACTGAGGAGAATTAGTCAAGACTCCCTGAAGGTCAAATTTTAACTCTTCTGAAGGGGCCTGGAAACTAAGTGCAAGAAGAGCCTTAAATGAAGAGTGGTAAATGACTATCACTCCTACTCTCGGAGTAATTTCAGAATTGAATGGGAAGCTCACTAGCATTTTCCATGAATTCCCAAGGATATCATTCCAGATAAGGTCTCAGACTACCTCAGAGGTAATCTAATGGTAAAAGCCTCCCAAATGTTTTCTGAAACTACCACAAGCTTAATGTATGCTTACGAATATATACTAAATGCCCTCACAGATTCTCTTTTCAATATTTAAAATGAAATCTAGGCTTAAAACCTAGCTGCAAAGCAATAACATATTTCAGCTTTATTTCCTACTTCACCCCACAAGTTCCCATCAATGGACAGTTATCTATTCCTGTACCTTCCAAGAGGCTTCCGACTGCCACCTCTTCCCTGCTTATTCCAGTCGCTCTGCCCAGAATGCCCTCTTCCCCTTCCCTACTCACCAACTGCGATTCCTGTGTAAGATCCTTAAAAAACAAGAACAAATACCACTCACCTCATTTTGCTCTGGGCATTATTATATACCATAGGTGGATGTTTCTTACTCTTTCCTATCTGAGTGTGGCTTGCCTGACTACTGAAAGTGTGTCATACACAACTACATAAAATATGAACAGTGCCTTACTCACAGGCAGACACCTTCATACCCACTGAATAAAGATAACAAAAAGCTTCCTTTGCTGTAGCTGTGAGATCCTCATTTGACTCTTGCTTTCCCAGATTACTTTAGGTATTCAGATGACCTATGACTGACTCCCTTGAAGAGAAGCGGAAACTGGAAAGACGATAGGCGCAGAAAGGGTAGCCTACTGATATGGACACGTTACGGTGGAGGTGAGGAGAGCAAATGCCTGATTCAGGGCAGGATTTACTAAAGAGAAAGAGAACTGGATACAGCACGCATAAACGCTTTCTCTTAAAATTTCGGTGTAAATAGAGAGAAGACATGCGGCAATGAACACACAGTTATAAACGATACGGTCTCAAGCAACAGCAGCCGTGTGTCAGGAATACCCCACGGGTCTCCATCCCGCCCTCCCCTTCCGGCGGCAGGAAAGGCGGGTAACGCGGAGAGGCAGTTTATTAAGTGTTCGCACCGCGCGTATCACGGACTCCAGTCACCACAGCTCTTACGACCTTGGGAGGAAAGCACCACGAGCTTCGTGTACAGACAAGAGCACCGAATGCAGAGTGAATCATCTCCCCGAAAGCCCCCCACACAGACACCCACGGGGCTGCGGGACCAGACACACGCCCCTCGCTGCGGCCGCCTGCAGCTCGAGGGGGGCGTTCCCGCCGCCGCCCTGCGCGCCGCGGGACACCCGCCCGCAGCCGCGCTCCCCGCCCTCGCTCCGCGCCAGACCGCGCGCCCGCCGGAGGGACGCAGAGGGGCCGATCCGAGGACCGAAAAGGCCCCCAGACCGCGGCACTTACCTCGTTACTGAGGCTCGGAGTCCCCGTCCGGGCCGGCCGGGGACTGCGGCTGCGTGGCCACGCCCCCGTACGGGAGGGCCTTTCGTCCAAAACTCGTCTGCAGGCGGCTTCGGCCGACGCCTGAAGAAAAGTGAGACTGGCTCTGACGCAAAGAGCGGTACTGGGGGGAGCCACTTCCGGAGCACAGGGCCACGCGCCGGAACTGCGCGCTCCTGTGGAACCCGGCCTCCGGCTGGCGCCCCAGAGAGCGCGGTGATAGCAGAGCTTGCGGTCTGGAGGTGTTCAGGATGCTCATTTTATACTCGTTTGTAGACGTGGCCTGGTTTTGGAAGAACATTGGCTTTGTGTCCCAATGTGGGTGAAGGAGCTTTGATAGAAGGATTAAATGAGTGACCAGTCTTTGTGCCGAGTTTTTATCTAGTGTTTGCGATGATTACTGCACTTCTAACAACCACACCTTATCGCCATCCTTACAGTATAGCTCAGCCTTGGACATATTCTGCACACTGTAAGATTTAAATGTAGACAGTAAATGCTTAAAGCAAGACCCGGATATACATTTACTGCTACCTGTGAAAATGTCTGTTTTGAAGGATTAGCCTGCGGGAGAGGAGGCGTAAGGAAGTGAATAGTAATTAGAAAATGTGTTAATAGTTAACACCTGGTTTAAGTGAGCGTAGAAATGCGTCAAGCGCAGGGGCAATCACTTTGCATCAATTATCTCCAAAATATTCATAGATATCCGGTGAGATAGGAACTACTATTATGATTTTACAGATGCGGCAATGGACTTCGCAGGAGGCAACTATTTTATTTAGCCAGAGTTGCCCAGCGGGGGCCGATCACTGCTGCAGGACTCCAGGGCTGGTTACATGGTCAGCAAGGCCCAGTGCAAAATGAAAATACAGGAACCCTCATTCAAAAAGTAGGAAAAATGTCTTCTTTTTTCCGTGGTGTCTTGGTGTGTCATGTGTTTTTATTTGGCATTTAATCTGGAGTTCCTCAAGCACAGCAATACTAATGGTCTCGTGTAGACCCTAACCTGTGCCTGGGATCCCTGCCGCAGACCTTAGAGAGGCGGGTCCTGGACCACGAGGACGGTAGTTTCCGGGTGAAGACCTGGAGGTGGGAAGCCCGAGAACCCAACTGGGAGGATGTGGGAGGTAGAACGCCACACGACCTGAAACAAAGACCTTGACAGGTTTTCCATTGGCCCCCTACAAAACTCAGAATTCAGATAAAATTATTATGAGTTTCAAGACTGTGGTGAAAGCACATTTAAGCCAGTCCCTCTTATGACACTCTAAGAATTAGACAGCCCTGTGCGGAGCCCATGTTCTTCATTTGTGATTCTGTTTTTAAATTATACGAACTCAGACTTTTATTTGGATTGGTATTCTTTTAGTTTAATGTGTGATTTGCATACAAATAGCTTAATGGCTTCTTCCTGTTTGACTAGTGTCACATAAAGGTAGTTTTTGCCATTAATAAATCATACACTGAATTGTAATTGTCTCCTTATTCATCTACTTCCGATCATTAAAACTGAGCTACTGGAGTGGAGAGGCTTTTAACCCAGGTGGGTCGTAGGCACAACATACAAAAATACATAGGAAAAGACATCTTAAAGATAAATGTAGAGCTTTATGGAAAATGCTTCTGTTTGGGAGAGAGGTGTTAAAAAAAATTGATTCCGTGTTGCTTCGTGTACTCTTCATGTTCTGTCTACACATGTTATGGGCTCTGTAGTGTTTTTTCTTGAGCACCCCTTTCCTTCTCCAGCACCTCATTTCCCAGCCACCACAGTGTCCTCGAGCTCAGCACTGTTGTTTTCTACCTTTCCATAGCCCCCTACCACATCTGGGTTCTCAAGGGCTACTTTTCAAGACCAGGTCAAATTCCACCCATCCTTTTTAAGAATCTTATTCATAGCTCCAAAGCAAGTTAATTTTTCTCATGAGCAGTTCATTCTTAGACTGTTTACAATAATCTAATTTGAAATTTCCTTAGTACTATTTTTGTACATTATAAGCCCTCAACAACCTTAGATAGTCATTTTTAAAACAATGAATGGTTTTTCACTCTCTTGTGTGTTATTTCCAGGTCAGTCTATTTCCTCCTTTTGGTGCTACAATCTCAAAAATTATTTTCATTCCTTACAGAGATGATTCTACTAATCTCATTAAGCTATGCACATTTCCTCTAGTAATAATAATGTATTAATCAGGTTAAGTTTCTCTAGAAAAAAACACATCAAAGCCCACCTCTACATTTTATTCTTGAAGGATTGATCTGGATCAGTTAAATGCTGTCAGATATATCAAATAATGAAACTATTACCATAAAAAGCATCTAGTGTGAGACTGTTTCTCCTCTTTATTACAGTGTTCCAATAAGTGGAAGTAAGGATCCACCAGCATATTCAGTGGGGGCCCAAGTTTCTTAATTTCAGTTTTCTCAAGAGTTTCTCAAATCCCCCTGTATGTGTCTCCTTGGTTGCCATAACAAAATATCACAGACTGGGTAGTTTAAACAAAAGAAATTAATTTTCTTTCAGTTCTGGAGGCCAGAAGTCCAAGGTCAAGGTGCTGTCAGGGGTGTTTCTGGTGACAGCTCTCTTCCTGGCTTGCAGACGCTGCCTTCTTGCTTTATCCTCATGTGGCCTTTCCAACGTGAGGATAGAGACTCTACGATACAGTCTGAGATGCAGACTCCTCTGGGAACTCCTCCCCCTCTTATAAGGATACCCATCCCATTGGATTAGGGCTTCACGTTTGTGAATTCATCTCACCACCCTACCTCTCTAAAGACTTTTGTCTCCAACAACTATCACATCAAGAGTTACAGCTTCAATGTGAATTTGGGGGGGACACACTTCAGTCCATAGCACCCACTTTCTTTAGGAAAAGAAAATTACCCCCAAAAGTAATCTTTTCCTGACAACATTTTTTGCACTATCATATTTCACTTTCAAAAATTGTAACCATACATTTCTGGATTACCAGTAAACTCATGGGTGTTTAGCAATCAGAATGAAATTGAGAAGTAGACCCACACATACATTGACAACTGATTTTCAACAAAGTTGCAAAGACATTTCAGTGGGTGAAGGTAGTTTTTTTCAAAAATTGTTCTAGAACTATTGGGCATCCACCTGAAAAAAATTTGACATTGACTCATCTCACACCAATACAGAAATAATTTAAAAAGGATCATACCCCTAAATGTAAAACTTAAAGCTATAAGACTGCTAGAGGACAACATAGGACAAAAACATTGTGACCTAGGGTTAAGTAAAGATTTCCTGGATATCAGAACAAAAACAAAATACATGTAAAGATACAATAATAAATTAGACTGAATCAACATTAAACTTCTACTCTTCAAAATACACTCTTAAGAGAGTAAAAAGAGAGGCCACACATGGAGAGAAAAATTTGCAAATAAATGTTTTATAAACGACTCTTATCTACAATATATAAAGAACTCTCCAATCTCAATAAGTAAAAAAACAACTCAATAAAAAAATAGGCAAAATATCTGAACAGATACATCACCAAAAAAGATATGTAGACAGCAAACAAATTCATGGAAACATATTCAGCTTCATCATTAGGAAGTGCAAATTAAAATCACAGTATGATATCATTACACACCTATTAGAATAGTTAAAAAGTCTGATCATATCAAGTGCTGGTGAGGATGTGGAGCAACTGGAACTCTCAAGCATCATTTGTGCACATGGAAAATGATACAATCACTTTAGAAAGAGTTTAGGAGTTTCTTAAAGTATGCATGTAACACCCATATGATCTAGGCTTTCTCCTCTGAGAGCAATAAAGAAACCATAAGTCCATATAAAGACTTGTACAAAAATGTTCAGAGAAGGTTCTTTTATAAGATCCAAAAATATAGAAAAAACTCATTTACATTTAATAGAAAAAGGAATAATCTGTGGTGTACACACAGACATACACACAACAAACCAACAATCAGAAATAAGAAAGCATGATATACACTACAATATAGATATATTTCAAAATAATTATACCAAGAGAATCCAGACAAAAGAAGTACATACTGTATTATTCCATTTATGTAAAATTCTAGAAAATGCAAACTAATGTTTATTGACAACAAACAGATCAATGGTTGCCTGAGGACATGGGGAGGAAGGATAGAATAACTGAAGAGAGAAATTACTAAAGCTCATCAGGAATCTTTGGGGGTGATACATTATCTTGATTTCAAGGATGATATAACATTATATACACACATCAAAATATACCAAGCTGTGTACTTTAATTTTTGCAGTTTATTCTTTCAGTTATACCTCAGTCAAGCTATTAAATATATACACTTACCATTGAACTAGCAATTCTACTTCTAGAAAAATATGTAACAGTTATTTTGGTTCAAATTAATGATTCATATATATAAGGATATTCATTACATAAGTATGTGTAATAACAAAGGATTCAAGGCAGCCTGCCCATCAACACATAACTGATTAATGGATACATTAAGAAGAATAATCAGCTATTTATTTACTGGAATGGAAAGCTCTTCATAATAAATTGTTTAATGAATAATTCAAGTGGCATTACACTATAGTATGCTATTTTTTTAGTGTGTTTGGGGGTAAGATATATACATGCAAATATCATATTTACTTGTTGGTATAGCATCTTGTTCTCTGGAGGACAAGTCAATGCTGGGAAACATGCATTAAATCTTTCCACTTATGTGTCCTTTTGTATCTTTGAAATTTTGTACCATGTGTTAGTATAAACTTTTTAAATAATTTTTGTTGCAGCTGTGAATGGAAGGTATAATTTCTCTCATTTCTGCCTATATTCAGTGGCGGTGCAGTTACAATCTATGATGTTTTTTGATGTATTTATTGTTCCATCACTTACACAAATTTTTCTTTTCATAGAGAGGAGAATTTTCTAGGTATACAATAAAATATCAGAGAATTACATCTATTTTTCCAGTTTTTACACTAATTATCTCATTTTTTGTATTAAATGTCCTAGAACTTTTAAAACAATAAGTAATAACACTAATAGCATTCATAGCTTGTTTCTGACTTTTTTCTAGTTTTATTAGGAAATAAATGACATATATCACTATATAAGTTTAAGGTATACAGCATGATGCTTTGCTTTACATATGTTGTGAAATGGTTACTACAGTAGGTTCAGCTAACATCCGTCTTCTCTCAGGTAGGTAAAATAAAAAGGAAAGAAAAAAGGAAAGGGAAAAAATTTTCCTTGTGATAAGAGCTCTTAGAATTTACTGTTTTAACAACTTTCCATTATATCATACAGCAGTATTAGCTATAGTCATCATCTTGTACATTACATCCCTAGTACTTATTTATCTTATAAATGGAAGTTTGT